TGTGTCTAAAATCATTCACAATTCAAAATGAGTTAAAATTTGTCGTCAGTTTCTCCAAATGTGTCCAAAACGACTCAAAATTGATCCGAAATGATTAAAAAAACAAGAAAAGCACAAATTAACCCAAAATAACACCAGAATGAGTCGGAACCAGACGAAAGATTGGTCCAAAATAATGTAAAACTTGTTCATAATGACAAAAAAACTGTCCAAATAAGACCTGGACCGGTCCAGACTTAAACCCAACAGAATGAAATGTTGGTCTTTTACACATTAAGGCAGAACAACCCGACGCCTCCAGTGAACATGATCAGAAATCTGATCGAGTTTGTCTTTTACAAATACAGACGGAAACATGAAGTATGAAAAAAACTGGGCCGAACTTTGCTGCTCCGAGTTCCTACTGCGGAGCCTGACTTTATATTACAGTAAAGCTAAACTGTTTTTTTAATTTAAAATCTAAACTCTACTGTCCAACCTAGAAGTAGTCTGATTACTGCAAGGGGACACAGAATCATCACAGCACATTCACTCGAGGACGTCTGCAGTACTTTTACTCGAGTAGAGGATCCAAGTACTTACCGGGAGGCCGAGTCTGAAACACCAAACAGGAAGAGAGCTGAGAGGGCCGACAGCCAATCAGAGAGCAGGATTCCCCGCCGTGGTGGAGTTCAGTTTCTCATGTAGAGTGTGAACGTGATGTTAGAGTTAACAAGAGATCAGAGGGATCAATACCACACACATACACACACATACACACACATACACACACACACACACACACACACTCTCTCTCTCTCTCTCTCTCTCTCTCTCTCTCTCTCCCAGGTGGCGTCAGAAGTTGGAGCTCCAACAAACTGAGTCTTTCTTCAGAACAAGCAGATTAACGGCTGCAGGATTAAAACCAGGACACCCAAGTCGACCACGAGTGGTCTGCTGTCGCCATGGAAACCGGCCTGTGTGTGTGTGTGTGTGTTGTGAGGGGAACCACACACGCATACATCCTACATATTACTGCTGTCAGAGGGAAACCCTGTATCTCCACAACGTCTAAATTAAACTCAGAGTTTCGCTGTTTGACATGATTTCTTTTTTTTTTTTTAGCCTTGTCTCTGAAAAACGACGTTTTTAGTTTTTACACAAACTGTTTGTGACTGATTTTTATTATTTCATTTTTTTTTCACTGATTTAAAAGTTTCTGTTTGAACCAGAAAACCAGCTCAACCAAAACTTGTTTTTTAATTTTCTAAAAGCATCTGAATGTATTTTAGGCATCAGGAGGTCAAACTATTTCATATTTTACTGCAAACAACACAAAGAACAAAATATTAAATGTCTTCTGGGCCAGTAATTAAAAAATAAAAAATAAAGAAGCAAGTTTCCACAAAACAAACGCTCATTAAATATTTAGTTTTTTAGCATTATTTTAATTTAATTTATTGTAATTTAGTAATTAATTTCATGGTTTCAGTTGCTCCAGTTGTTTTCTTCAGACACGTTAAATTTCACGTGTTCGTATCTGAGCAGGACGGAAATAAATTGTGTAATTTTATCAAAATAATTCCACATCAAAAATAAAACCCTGACACGGCCTAGTTCTCAGGGTTTTCTTGTGACCCTTTGAGGGGTCTCGACCCACTATTTGGGAACCACTGCATTAAAATTATTTAATGAACATTTGCTGTTTTTGTCAGTTTTTTCCAAAATAATTAGAAATGTTCATTTATACTTTTCAGTGGTTTTTATTTTTTAAATAAAGGAGTTGTGATGTTCGGGTTTTTGTGCCCTCAGGTTCGTCTGACAGGATCATCCTCAGACACTAGAAACCTCTCGGTAAATTATATGTCATATGCTGCAACAATTATAATATTTATCTTCATATATGTTCCGTATGTTCTCTGTTCTATGGTCATAGATACATGTGACATCTTCTCAGTTTTTTATTTCTGATCTGTAATCTGCTCGTTACCTTGTGACAGTTTCTTTAGAAAAAAATGAGAAAAAATTTCATTTAATAAATAACAAAAGCAGGATTAGAAACTGGTTTCTTTGATTAACAACTGATGTGTTTGTTCCTGAAGTAATTTTGTGTTAAATAAAACCTGTGTGTTTAATTCATGTAGATTTGTGGGGACCAGTTTGAGTTTTAGACTCATTAGTGAGGACGTTGTGTCTCCAGGGTTCACGGCAGTGTCCTGGGAATGTTCATGAAGGTCCTCACAAAGAGAGAAAGACACACATCTGAGTGTGTGTGTGTGTGTGTGTGTGTGTGTGTGTGTACTGCAGCAGAGGTCGACCAATCAGGTTGGTCCTCGTCCTGTTTAGACAGAGTTAGTATGCAGAGCAGAGAGTGTGTGTTTTATTTTCTGTTTGAGTGTGTGTGTGCGTGTGTGTTTGTATGTGTATTTGTGTGTGTGTGTTGTGTGTGTGTTTAGTTGGTGTGTTTGTGTGTCCAGTGTGTGTGCGTTTGAATATAAAGTGGCGTTTTCTGCAAAAACTCAGGAAACAGCAGCTTCAGCAGTTTCTTCACTCAAACACGCCGCAGAATGTTTACTCTGGTACCGTCTGGAGTACTCGTACTTTACTGGAGTATTTTCCACTGTGTACTTGTACTGCAGTACTCCTGTCTGAAGCTGCAGTTACTGGATGTTTGACACGTTATGATTTTGAACAGAGGACATGTAAAAACCAGCTGCTCACATAATAATACATCACTAACAGTACTGGACACAGAATCTATTCAAATATACTTTGTGGTACTTTTATGTGTATTTGTGCTTTTCTTTGTCATGTTGTATTTAACTTTGGTTGTTTTGCATCTCATTTAGGTCATTTTACATGTTTTGTGGTTGTTTTGCAGTACATTTTGATTGTTTTACTTTGTTTTTTTTAAATCACATTTAGTTTTGGTCATTTTACAGGCTTTTATGTTTTTTGCATCATATTTTTGTAAGTCAACATTTTGTGGTTGTTTTGCAGTACATTTTGATTGTTTTACTTTGTTTTTTTAAAATCGCATTTAGTTTTGGTCATTTTACACGCTTTTATGTTTTTTGCATCATATTTTTGTAAGTCAACATTTTGTGGTTGCTTTGCATCACATTTAGGTCATGTTACATGTTTTTGTGGCTGTTTTGCATTTAGTTTTGCTTATTTTGCATCACATTTGGATTTTTCTACGTGTCTCTGTGTTTTATGCATTACATTTTGGTCATTTCACATGTTTTTGTGGTTGTGTTGCATCTAGTTTTGCTAATTTTGCATCACATTTCCGTTGTTATAGAGGTTTTTTGTGTTTGTTTTGTGTCACACTTTGATTGTTGAAACATCAATTGTTTTTCGTTTTGCATGTGTTTATGGTCGCTTTGTATCACATTTAGGTCATTTCACCTGTTTTTGTGGTTGTTTTGTGTCACATTTTGCTCATTTTGCATGTTTTTGTGGTTGTTTTGCATTTATTTTTGTTTATTTTTCATCACATTTTGATTGTTTTATGTTTTCTGAGTTTTTTTGCATCACATTTTGATCATTTCACACATTTTTGTAGTTGTCCTGTGCCACATTTTGCCTAATTTTACGTGTTTTGTGGTTGTTTGGCATTTAGTTTTGGTCATTCTGCGTCACATTTCGGTCATTTTCAAATGTACTTATTGTAAATATGTGAGATTTGCTTGTTTAAAATTTCTGTTTTTATTTCCAGTTCTCCTTGGAACTGAAAAACACGAGTTCTTATTTGATGCATTTGGACTTAAAATGATGTGCTGAATGAACGAAAAGCTAAGAATTCACTCAACTCAGTAAATTAAGTTTATATGAAACAAAACCAACATGGAAGCAGAGTAAAAACATTTTTAGTAGATTTAGAAAACAGAAATGGAGGAAAAATAGTTTAGTCTTTCATACATGTTAGATGATGTTTTTTCTTTTTAGAGTAATCAAAATAATTGTAGTCATGACAAAGGTTAGAGCTGAATTCACTCCCTGTAGACGTATCATTTAAATGCAAGTTCTCAATGAAAAATGAAGAAAAATTTTGAAAAAATGTAAAAGGAAAACGTGTTTATCTTTAACTGGTTGATTCAACTTAAGATCTTAAGTTCATTGAACTGATTTTCTCCAGTTGAATAGATTCAACCAGTTTTACAGTTTCTCAGCTTGGAAGTTGACTTTGAACTAGTTAATCAATTTAAGTGAAGTTAACTCACATTTTTAAGGCAGTAATGAACATACAATTATTTACAACTTAATAATAATATTAAGTTATAATAAAATAACTTAATAATACATAATGAGGAACCAACAAGACCTGAGTAACTGAAAACAATATTGATCAGTCTCAGTCCATTGATAGATGTTCTGTCCTAAACATGTGTCGAGGCTCCGGCTTCTGCAGATTTAGTTTCTGAACTTAGTTTTGTTCCAGTGTCGATTTAATGTTCCAGTATAAAGTATTTTTAATGTGTAACTGTGAGCAGATTAAAGAAACCCGACGGAGCTCAGTTCCTCTAAAACCGGCGGTCTGACCGAGCTGCTCAAAGTTGTCAAAGTTAAATTTTAATTTCAAGTTTTCGGGGGAACATAAAGTCAGAGCGGCTTCCTCACATTTGTCACAGCGATCCTCTGAAATTAAACTGAGCAGTGACTCTGTTTAAAACAGGAGAGTTTAAGAGACGTACCTTAAATCAACAGAAGAACTAAAAGGAAGACTGATCTTCAATTAGAGCCAAGGAGGAGGAGGAGGAGGAATCCTTCACCACGGAGCCGCTGAAACGAGATGAAGACTGGACCCAAAAAGAATCAGAACGTTCAAATGCTGCTCATTAAACGGTGAATTACGTTGCAATGATGAGTTTAGCTGCTTCACTATCCATTTCCTGACTTTAACATCTCCTAAAAACAATCAGAAACACCTGAAACACCAGCTTTAGCCACAAAACTCTGAATCACGATGACGAAACATACAATGAATAAACAGAAGTGCATACTTGAATGAAAAAAAGAACATTATGACCAATTTATTTAAAGTTAAAAGCAAAAAAAAAAAGCAGAAAGAAACTCACCCGATCATATTGAATACATCATCAGATAAAAGTATCAAAAAGTAAAAGTAACAGCACAAATAAAATCAGCTGATTGTCCCGTTAAAATATATATTTATCCTTAGAATACAGTCACGATTGAAAACATCTGGGGAAAAAAACAAACAAAGAAAACAGAGAAATGTAAGGCTGAAAAGGTGTTTTACAGTTCAAGGTCCTTAAAAGTATTTAAAGAAGAAAAGAAAAACACTCACAGCTTCATAACACCAGTAATAAAATAATAATAATAATAATAATAATAATAATAATAATAATAATAACAGAAAGGAACACGTGTTTACTGGCTGAAGGATAAAATAAAACCACCTGCGATCAGTTCAGTGACATGAAAACAATCAATACAGGAAGTGACTGATGAGGCTGAGCGATCAGATGACGGCGCGAAGGCTTCCGGTTCCAACCTTCTTCCTCAGCACCTCGACCAGACGCTCCAACCTGAGGAGGACGAGACCAGTTAGAAACCTGCAGCAGGACCACATGAGCAAAGGCTGAACACGCGACAGGAAAAGGCTCTGGATGTTCCTCCTGGTTGGAAAATAATCCTCCATAACTGGTCTAAGTCAGGCTTATCTGGTCTAAGTCAGT